GTTGGTAAATGATCAAAGAACTAGGTAAAATGGACAAACAGAAGTTTTTTTTCGGGGGCTCATATCGAGCGTTTTGAACAGAAGCAAAAGTTATGATAGAATCGAACTATCCCTGAGCCTCATGCGTTGTATTGTCTTCTTCAACAAAATTCAATGAGTACTCGAAACACAATTTTCATTGGTAAGCTTTCGCTGTGGTAACAGCTTCGTCAGACCTCAAATATATAAAGCATACATAGCACTACAAATCTTTACAACAATAGAGTTGGTCGAAGTACTAACCAGACTGGACTCCTTCTTAACAATAAAGTTGCTAAGGTCTGTAATACACTACACTCAATGCCTACAGCTGATGACCACTACACCAAATTCTAACGACCTACCCCAGTGACACCGCCAATGCAACTAAAAGTGACTAGGAATGCGACGCGCTGACAATTGCGAGGACATCCTTATCACGACCGCTATCCAATCAGCCTCATTGCCTCCATCAGCTCATCCCTATTGTTTATTTCGGGGGATAATCGCTTGATGGCGATCGCTTCAAGTAACTTCCTTTCCAATAGGCTATCCTTCGTGCGGTGTAGAACAGTCACTTTCAGGCGGGTGGTGGTTCTTGTTGGTGAAACATCGTACGATGCCGCGAGAATCCACTCTGGGGGTAAGAAGAGGGATTTCGTAAGGCTGTATGTGTTTCGTCCATCCTTTTGTATAAAGGTCGCATTGTTTCACCAACATATTTCTGATTGCATCCTTCGCATGTGACCAAGTAAACTGTCCCACGTAACTGGCAGATTTTATTTTCTGTACAGTATGAACAGTTACTTCGGCCACATTTCTCTTCGTAGATCCGCGATGATGTCAGCATGCTTCTTAGATTTTCAGGTGGACGGAATATTAGCTTGATTGGAAGGCGCGACGACTTGATGGTATGATTGACGTTCTTTGCTACTCTTTCGTTGACGTATGGTAAAATTAATGGGATTCCTCCAGTAGCAAAGAAAGGTCGCCATGTTCTGGGTTCGTTCGTCGTATATCCATTCTCTTCCAAAATCCTAGCTATTTTCCGGTTCACCTCTTCTGATTCATAAGTGCATATCCTCGCCTTCGTAGCGATAAGATTTCTTACCACGTTAGCTTTCATATAGAGCGGATGTGCACTTCGAGAATGCAGAAGGATATTCTTTGACATCGGTTTCTTGTACCACTCGATCTCCTTCGTGCCATGGTCAATTCGGACCTTCGTGTTGAGGAATGGAAGGAAGCCGCGTTCGTCTGGATGTTCCACCGTGAAACGTATGTTTGGGTCACATGAGTTCAGGTTTTGCAGCATTGCGCCCATGACATCGGCGGTAGAAGTGACGACGAATTTATCGTTTCTGTAGCGCTTGTAAAATATAATCCCAGTGATCAGAGATCTCCTTTCAATCCTATCCAAATAGACGATGGCTAGTAGCGGCGAAATCCTCAATCCCATGGCAAGGCCTCGTTTCTGTGAGTAGAACATGCTATCAAACTGGAAGATGTTGCACTTCAAGGTTGCCAGCAGGAGTTCACGCAAATCCTCCTCCATCAATCCGAAGTTGTGTACTTCTTCATGATGTCGTCTCAGCAGTTCAATCACAGAATTTATAGCTTCATTACTGTCCACGTTGGTATACAAAGAAACCGCGTCGAAGCTCGCATACGAAGCATCATCGGGTATCTCGCATCGATCCAGTGCTGATAGGAATTCTCCTGCGTTGACTAAATGAGCCGCAACATGTTGCAAAAGCGGCGACAGGAGCTTCGTAAGGAACCAGCTCACACTATCCGAGGGGCCTCCACATGACGATATAATTGGTCTGGTTTTGATTGAATTCTCTTCGATGTGACGTAGGTCAACTTCATCCGGGAACTTGTGCGTCTTGACCAATGCGTAATACGTTGGCACCATCGGATTTGTGAGAAGGAACCGTCTGGTTGTTTTCCTATCCATAATCTTGCTCAGGATCCGTGTTGTTGTGCGTCGGAGTTCATCAGATACTTTCTCGAAATCTCGCAGTGATGACAACTGGTACGTGGTGTTATCCCAGAGAAACTGCCGACCTAGACTTTTATCCATTGATTGTGTAAGGACAACGAAGTCTCCACTTTTGTCACTTACACTGTATCGAAGGTCGTTTTTCAAAAGCAGGAGCTTTTTCAAACCACGTCTCTCTTGCACAGTAAGGTTGGACGCAAACTTTGCTGACGTCTCGCTTGCGTAAATTTGCACCAGGTTAAGTTGAAGTGATGCCAGTGCGGGTTCCAGATGTGGGACCGGTTTTGGAGCTGTCAATGATGTTCTCGGGAAAGGTATCGATGCTGCGAACGTTGACAGCCTATCCAGGACAGTCGGAATTGAATTCTCCCTCCATCGAATCTGGTGGGCGAATTTGTGGAAGGCACAGAGCATTGAATCCATTGACTGGTTTACGGATGTTGATACAGCAAACGAGGGTCCCAAGTTAAGCAAAGCCTCCATATCTTCATCCACTTCTTCCGTTCCGATTACTGTGCAACGTTTCGGTGGAGTTGCATCATGTGAGATAAAATGCTGACTTCGAGACTGCACATGTGATCGCAGAAATGCAAGCTTTTCTTGCAGTTTTCTTTTTTCGCGCTCTCGAATTCGTTGGCAGAGCATTTGATTTCTATCAGAGGTAGCTCTCCATACATTGATGTCCAACCTTTCTTGCAAGGAATTCTTCGTCCTGCTGGCAACCTTGAAGTGCAACATCTTCCAGTTTGATAGCATGTTCTACTCACAGAAACGAGGCCTTGCCATGGGATTGAGGATTTCGCCGCTACTAGCCATCGTCTATTTGGATAGGATTGAAAGGAGATCTCTGATCACTGGGATTATATTTTACAAGCGCTACAGAGACGATAAATTCGTCGTCACTTCTACCGCCGATGTCATGGGCGCAATGCTGCAAAACCTGAACTCATGTGACCCAAACATACGTTTCACGGTGGAACATCCAGACGAACGCGGCTTCCTTCCATTCCTCAACACGAAGGTCCGAATTGACCATGGCACGAAGGAGATCGAGTGGTACAAGAAACCGATGTCAAAGAATATCCTTCTGCATTCTCGAAGTGCACATCCGCTCTATATGAAAGCTAACGTGGTAAGAAATCTTATCGCTACGAAGGCGAGGACATGCACTTATGAATCAGAAGAGGTGAACCGGAAAATAGCAAGGATTTTGGAAGGAGAATGGATATACGACGAACGAACCAGAACATGGCGACCTTTCTTTGCTACTGGAGGAATCCCATTAATTTTACCATATGTTAACGAAAGAGTAGCAAAGAACGTCAATCATACCATCAAGTCGTCGCACCTTCCAATCAAGCTAATATTCCGGCCACCTGATAATCTAAGAAGCTTGCTGACATCGTCGCGGATCTACGAAGAGAAATGTGGTCGAAGTAACTGTTCATACTGTACAGAAAATAAAATCTGCAGTTACATGGGACAGTTTACTTGGTCACATGCGAAGGATGCAATCAGAAATATGTTGGTGAAACAATGCGACCTTTATACAAAAGGATGGACGAACACGTACGAGCCTTACGGAATCCCTCCTCTTACCCCCAGAGTGGATTCTCGCGGCATCGTACGATGTTTCACCAACAAGAACCACCACCCCGCCTGAAAGTGACTGTTCTACACCGCACGAAGGATAGCCCATTGGAAAGGAAGTTACTTGAAGCGATCGCCATCAAGCGATTATCCCCCGAAATAAACAATAGGGATGAGCTGATGGAGGCAATGAGGCTGATTGGATAGCGGTCGTGATAAGGATGTCCTCGCAATTGTCAGCGCGTCGCATTCCTAGTTACTTTTAGTTGCATTGGCGGTGTCACTGGGGTAGGTCGTTAGAATTTGGTGTAGTGGTCATCAGCTGTAGGCATTGAGTGTAGTGTATTACAGACCTTAGCAACTTTATTGTTAAGAAGGAGTCCAGTCTGGTTAGTACTTCGACCAACTCTATTGTTGTAAAGATTTGTAGTGCTATGTATGCTTTATATATTTGAGGTCTGACGAAGCTGTTACCACAGCGAAAGCTTACCAATGAAAATTGTGTTTCGAGTACTCATTGAATTTTGTTGAAGAAGACAGAAGCAAAAGTTTCCAAGAGTCAAGGATTCCAACATGCAAATTTGTGTCTCTGAAGCAGTGCGCTTATCCACTAGGCCATCGGCCGCTTGCCGCATGCCGTTATCGTTCTCAACTTGAGCAAACAGAGCAAAGATTAAATGGTCCGTAACTCCCTTCAAAGAATCGTTCCGCAAGTTTAGAGGGCAGATTTGAATTCAGCGGCTCAATATACGTTCACTTACATACATCTCATTGCAAATGGCCGGATCGACCTGTTGGGATTCCCTTGTGAGTGACGAGAAGCTTTAATCGGTCTCATGACCGGAAATTCTGTGTGATGCTACAACTAAAACAAAGTATTTCCTTGCTTCTTTAACGGCGCTCACAGCAACGAACACTCTCAAATCATTAGAATTAGACGTGAGGTACGTAAGGTTTACGGTAGCCAAAGAGCGCGCAAGTGGTGTAATTGCATCCAGCAGCCCACGCCCTGGGTCCCTCTTGCGTTATTCCGTAGTGCGCCTGAACCAGGAGAAATCAGCAACCAGTACATTAAAATAAGCTAGATACGCTCCTTCATGTAGGCCTACAATGAATTCAAATGATGCATGATGTCGGAGGTTCATCGAGAAGATACCTTGTCAGTTTAACTTCTATGGGGTTCCCCGTTTGGAGCACGCGACAGTGTGCGTCAGCGCACTTGTCTTATTATGAAAAGAATTCGGCTACGCTTTGTTTTCAAAGTCACAAATATGAAACTAATTTTCGCTTCCCAAGAAACTAGCTGTGAGCTTCTTTCTGAAGTGTTACTTTATATCATAATTCAGGAAGCTCCATTCTCAAGAGGGTCCCCAGGTGGCTATCGCGAATGACTGAGATAAGGACTGTGCCGGTGAGCATACTTCTAGCTATGTGTGTCGATTTGGTTTGATTTGAACACGCCTATATCAAGATTTATATTTTACTCAAGTTTTCTCAATTCATCATCCCAGAGATGCATCCAGGTCATCGATCTCGCTAGTACCGTCATGTCCTTCCTTTGAACCTGTAGTGTGCTATGAGTATTTGAGTCTACTTATGTTTTTTAGGTAATCGAAGAAAGCGTCTACGATCGTCGAACCCGAACCTTAACGACTTACACAAGGAACGTGTCCCACAACGAATTGTTCGCCATGCATGAGCGATGTGTGTATCGTCCAACTACGGTGAAAGACTTCTCTCGTTGTTATAACAGTGCATGCAAGTAAACTAGTAGGCATCATGGCATTTTTTTGAAGGTGCGAATAAGTTTTGTCGTGAGATGATGATCTTAGCAGGTTATGAGAGTTTCTTCGTCCAAGGTACTTCGCGAGGTGACAGCTCGAAAACTCCACGATATGCTTTCCGCGCGCAAGATCGATTGAACGAGACCCTCGCAGAAAGGGAGGCCGCTGAGCCTACTTGTTTTCTAGCATATACTCGATATATAGATATGTGCACGTAAATACTATCACGTTCAGGACTCTCTGAATGTTCCAATGACGGACATCATGCGCAGTGTCTACATATCCATACACTGCGGTAGAATGAGTTCGGTTTATGAGAAATTGATGTTACTCGGCTTCAAAAAATCTGTAAGTTTCTCATCAGCCTAATATGGAACAATTTTTCTATTGGAAACATCCCAGTCCTGTAAAAGAAGAGAATGTTCGGTACAGCTCTTCGGTTAAAGCGCTCGGCAAAGTGAGTTGTGGTATTTGGTGGAGTTATCCCTCAATGTTTCGCTTCGACACTTAAGTATGACAGGTTTTCTTCCGACTATTCTGCTGTCTCAGAGGCCCATGACTACCTGGTTAGTCAAAAAAAGTGACCCTTCATTTGTTCACTTTAAAAGGACGAAAAATACAAAATATTCTCGGATTTTTGGACCTTTCGGCGTTTTGGGGTGCAAATATGCAGCTTCATTTTTTGAATCTGTTCTGTATCGAAACCGGGAGCAGCGTGGTCGTTTATCGAGTCCAAGCGAGAGCCGAACAAAAGTGAACCACACTCGACAAACAGTCTTTTATACAAGAACCAGTCGCATCACCCGGCTGCCGCCGGGTGCGCCGGGCCGGCCTGGCTTCGCCAGGCACTCTTTCCTCAGGCGAGGTAGAGTGTGCAAAATACGCCTAACCATCACAGTGCATTTTCCAGCAAAATGTAGAAAAGAATTGAAAATAGCTCGAGCAATGGGTTAAAGTTGAATCTGGCCAGAGGATCGTGCAACATACAGCGCTTTGTTACTTCCAAAATTCTAATGACATCAAAAGAAAGAGCCTGACGCCCCTTATCCAATCTTATCAGATGCTGGCAGTTTTTGTCACCAACCTAGTGCTCCTTTCCTAAACTACATCTTGAAGCCAACCTCCTACTGTTGCTATGACTCGCATGGCGGACCATACCCTTCTAACATCTCGAATCTTATCAGCAGCTGGCAGTTCTTGTCATCCACCAATAATGTTCGTGTTCCATACCCAAAATCATATGTTGGAATCAACACTTGGCTGATGCTGTGACACGCATTACGGATATGGTGAAAGTTCCATTGTGAGGCCTCTTATCAGATATTATCAACTGATATCAACTTCACTTCCTATCACCCACCAATAGTGTATTCACCGTCACACCCTCTACGTCACTTTTTGGAACCAATATATCGCTGCTACTGGGACCGGCGCTATGAATTTCGTGTCAAAGAGACAGACGCACACGCACGGGCATAGTCGATTATATATGATAGAATTGTAACCGTTGTCCCAATGTAACGCTGAAATCTACTTTTGTCCATTCTTTTCTCGGGGTTGGTACCAAATCTCCATAACCCTCACACGAAAATTCAGTAATCTGTAGGAGCAGCCTCCGAAGCATCTTACCGCTCAATTCGTTCTCCACCACTGTAAGGGTTTTTTATGGAATGCACTCCCGCTTTTGGCAGTCTTGCGCTTCGAATGGTCCTCTCTCGGCTTGTTGATGGAAGATAATCATGGTCATAGGGATAAAGTTAGTTGCTGCAGTTCATGGCTGAGTAAACAACCGTCATGCATCTAAACTCCAGTTGCTTTAGCGGCCGTACATGATGTCGATAGCGGTTAGAGCATAGGAGAGAGTTGTGTACGAACTACTGAGAGCCTGATACCTGTCATATCAATCGCATTGTGGCAGTAAGCGGTGTTGCGCATTCCTGCATGATGACGCTTTCAACCCTTATCAGCTGCTGTCACTTAGTGTCACCAATCAGTGGGTTTCCACCCTCCTCCCCTAAACGGATCTTATCAGATGGTATCAGCTCCTGTCAGCCACCACACTGCCGGGTATATCACTCCTTGAAATGAAGGTCCCGCAGCTGCTGCAACTCGCGCTACGATTTCGGTCACCCTCCACTTCTAAGGTCCCTTATCGAATCTTATCAGGTGTTATCCCATTCTGTCACCCCCCCCCCAACCATGTCCATCCCTTCCCCTGTACCACTTCTTGAAATCAAGGTCCCGCAGTTGCTGCAACTTGCGCTACTTTCGGTCACTTAGGTTTATCACCCCTGTCGGGTCACCCACCAAAAGCGGTTCCCCGTCTGCCTTTTGTTTTAGCACCTCCTTGAAATATCAAGGGGTCCTGCCAGCTGCATGCGAACTCGACTTACGGGGGACTTCGGTCACCCTCCCTTAAGGCCCCTTATCGTAATCGTTTATTAGGATGGGTTTATGCACTCCTGTCACCCCCAAGAAGTTGTTCCAGTTCCTGTGTTGTAGATTATCACTTCTTGGAACTGTCATTTCCTCTTTTCTGCGTACGTCTCGCTATGAATTTCGTTGACAGACGACAGACCACAAACAAGACACACACAACGACAGCCAACACACACGGACATAGCGCATATATTTGTAGTTAGGATGAATCTGATATCGCCCAGTACTGCCTTCAATTACCAGGGAGGTCATTACAGGACGTGGCGCTGCCTTTTTTGAAAACGATTTTTTGCATGATCTGGGTCACGGCTTAGGTTAACATAACGGGACGTTTGATTTTCCTGGAAGCTTGGGTAATACAAATAAAGGTATTGTGAAAAATTTAAGGTCTGTGGAAGCCGGTTTGGTTTTGAGCTCTGATGAGCTCTAAAATCACTTGAAAGGTTGCCAGTTTTGACTGAGTGGAAGGTTCCTTATAAAGCACTAATAGGTGAATCGAGCCAGGAAAATACTCGCCTGGGGGTTTACCTTTGCGGAGTAGTTTAAGATTCGACGGGCATTGGGTTTGCATGGTTTCCCTCAACGGGCTCGCGAAACGTTTGCGTAAGCCGAAAATAAACTGCTGTATCAACCTCGCGAAGAGTTTTCCACATGAAGAATTTCGTACAGTACTAAACATGCCGAGGTTTTATTGAGAGCCGTCTGGCGTGTGTTCCTCAAGATCGAGAAGTACCATAAGCAAACGATTTCGGATGGGCTACGTGGATTATGCGTGAGATGGTTTTAAGGGACACGTGAAGGTGTGGTCCCGATGGTTCGACTCCTGTTGGTGTACAGGTCTTTGCAATAAAATTTTTTTATGAGTTTCGATTGTTTATCGCGTTATTTAGTGGTGTGGCGCTGATTATTGAGTTCGATAAGTGCCCATGCATTTACAGGGGGGGGGCCCAAAAAAAAAAAGTCATTTTCGGACCGAGTCACATATGAAGCGCAAGTTTTGCAGCCCCGACACGAGGAATGGATATGAGTACCAGGGCGTGAAGATTACCCAAGATCTTCCTCTATAGAGCATGAGCCGGTGCGCCATTCACTTATGTTACACCAAAAAATATGAAAGTAAGCTCCGTAGTCGCGGCATGAGTGGTGAGAACGCTTTGGAATTACGGGCTCCACCCAGGACCAGCTGCGGAACTTTCATTGAAGATGGAATTCACCAATGGATAGCTACCTGGAGGACCAGTATCCTTGATTCTGCTCAAGAAACTCAAACATTCGTACAGTCCGGCAACGTCAGGCGTACCCCCGGTCCGGACATCATCTTTCGACCCCCAGTTCACAAGGCGTGGTGCTGCAAGTTTGATGGTGTGGACCGCCTGTACCGTTGGTTGGAATGAAAGACCGATATTTTTCTTTGACTGGTAGACGAACTGGAAGGTTAGCGCTGGGGCGGTTACATCATATAACTCCGAGAAGGATATCCTCCCTACATGTTGTCTGCCGTTACCTTCTTTGGGAAACTTGTTTTACGCTTACCAGCATTGGGTTGCCACCCATGGGAATTGGAGGGTTTTGGAAATTGAAAAAAGAAAACTTCCGCATACTTTCGAATGGAAAGGGCGTTTCGTAACCTGATGAAGAATGTGATTATGGAAATATGTCCCCCTGACCTTAAACCCACTCAATTAACCGTTAGTTCGGTGACGTGAGCTCAAAAGTAGGGTGGTTCTACGGTGGGAGAAATGGACTATCTCGCTGGATCGCAGGACACACTCACTTTCGGCTGCGGCCGAATCGCTGCCTCGATGGCTCTTCTCAGAAGAGCTGTGGCGGGAGTGTCATTATAGTATTTAATGTGCTCTTTAAAGTATGTTAGTAAAAATGGTACCGTTAAAAATTCATTTTTAAAGTGTAATTGTTATAGCGCCTTGAAATCATGGGGAGTGCAAAATCACTTGTTTTTTTGGGTGGCCCCTTGTTTGGGACATTTTGAATTGGGGATTACTTCCATGTTAATCGGTTGCTATTCCCATCATTTCAGAGGTTTTACATACCATTAAGCAGTACATAATTTGAAAGTTGGTCTTGTAAAAGATTCAGTACCAAACGCGGAATCACGACGTAGTTTAGAATCTCATTTGTAACTATTTGGTGCCATTATCGCTAATTATGGACGCATGTAATATGGATCCGCATGTTCGTGCTTTTTTAATGAAGTGGTTGTGCACACAAAAGAAAGGACGTGTAGCGTAACCCAGGCGCAAGCTACGTCGCGGCGCCGGAAATTCAGGTGTCAAAATCGTGACGGGGGCCAGTTTGATTATCCCGTCCGTAGACAATCTTCGACCAAAAAAAAGTTTTTTTGACTTCGGCAGTCTTGCGTTGGGTTGTGCCTGCCAGTCTTTCATATAGAATACTACAGTACGTTCGTCAATTAGGGCTTCTCTATTCTATTAGGGAAGGAGGGGAAAAAGTAAAAATTCACCATACGGCGTATGCGGCGCGGTTTCTTCACGTCCGCGGCTGCTCAGGGTGGAGCAAAAGGCGACGGGCCGCGATTGGCCGCTGGGATGAGGAACGGTGTAGGACTCCACGAGAGGTCTAGCTGCCGTCGCCGCGGAATGCTCTTCGCGATGGCTTTCCCGTATGTATTTTTTTGCATTTTAATAATATTTAGAGAATACATCAGCAATCTACGAAAATTCTTTTCGGGATGAATCCTTCTTTTGGCCTCAATTGCAAGATATTGTAAGGCTTAAGATTCTCGGCCAGACGGTAAAAGTAGATCCTGTGGAAGAAATGCAGCAACCCGTCGAATAGGTACAGCTGCCATTCAAAAATACTGTCGTCCCATTGAATATTCTGGTTTGGAAATCCCAAGCAGATCCGCGTGATACCAGAACTATGTGAAGGGACCGGGATCTTGATCGCAC